GTGAAACACGGGAAAATGACGAAACAAGCCGTTAGGAAATGACAGGTGACGGCACTGCAGCAAGCCTGTGTTTAACGAAGACGCCAAAACAAAGTGGAAGACGGTGTAGTGTAGCAATTTTTATTTTCACATGTTCAATATTTTTTGGGTGTGTTCATATATTTATTTCTGTTTCTATACACACGTTTTTTAATAAAACTTTCTCATGCTGACTCATCAAATATGAGGTCTGCCTTAAATGTACCACGGAAAAAGTTTTGTAACGTCTTAACGAAGAAGGGAAAAAAAAGGTCCATTTTTTTTACTGGATAAAAAGCAGGGATAAAAAATGAATACTTCAAGCCCTTATCCAAGTGTGTGTGTGTGTGTGTGTGGTGTGTGTGTGTGTGTGTGTGTGTGTCTGTGTGTGTGTGTGTGTGTGTGTGTGCGCACGTGTGTCAGTCTCCAGTTCATTCATGCAGGATTGCTCTGCCCGGATGAGACGACATGTGACAGGTGATGCGAAGTGGTTTCACATCAACTTTTGAGGAAGTCCTGAGCCTTTGGACACTAAGTGAAAAACGCGCACACACCCTAGGACACACAATCACACACACAGAAGTGAATTCATCTGGTGGCTGTCTCAGTGAGCAGCTCCCTGTGTAGTGGAGTGTGCCTGCCAGGCCCTGACCCCGTCTGATAGGATGAATGTGCCCCTGAGCTACAAAGACACTCAGTCTGGATCAGACTGTGCAGGTGCACTAGGACAAATATCAGGTTCTGGATTTTCCATTAGGGGTCTTTATCAGAAAGATTTCTGTGGTTGTTTTTGCTCCAAATGTAAGAACTCTCTAACGTTATCTTTTAGATTACTGGATAAAATAATAATCTTAAAATGAACGTGAGTTTAAGTCTTTAAAAAAAAAAAAAATCACATTTTGAGTTTTTCTTCAAACTTACCTCGGGTTTTTGTTGTTGAGACTTAGTGCAATTTCATTCACAGCATGTGGGTGTGACATGACCATGTTGAAGCCATACTGCAAAATGAAACACAAACAGGGACAGAGACAAATAAGCTAATTAACAAAGAAGAGGAGCCAGTGGATAAGCAAAGAGCTACATTGCTCTGCATAATAAATGAAACATGGAGGACAAGCAGAGGGAACAAATTGAATTTGGCCTCAGTTAGATAAGTGTGCTTTAAATCCAGTGAGAGATACAGTGTGTGTGTGTGTGTGTGTGTGTGTGTGTGTGTGTGTGTGTGTGTGTGTGTGTGTGTGTGTGTGTGTGTGTGTGTGTGTGTGTGTGTGAGCAGAGGGCTGACCTGGTAGTTCATGATCGCACGCAGGCACATAATGCAGACGTGGACGTCATCTTTCTTGCAGACCAGTCTGGAGTTCTTCAGGGTTCTCCGGCTTGGCAAAGTGTTGCAACTGCAAAGATAAAAAAAAAAAAAAATGTAACAAAAGGATGTTTTGAGTCCACAAGTATCTGAACACAAACACCTCAGGCCTGGAAAAACAAGAAAACAGATGCCATTTGTGAGCCTCCATCACTCCCCCCCCCCCCCTTACAGGGAGGCCATTAAACTGCCACGCCACATTACATTAACACTCACAAAGGCCATATAATCTACAGCCTCGCCAGGACCCACAGGATGCCCTCTTTCAATTGTTTTAATTTGATGTCCTTCACAGAGATATCACTTACACACACAATCCAAGCCAGTCATTTGCATGCAGCACAGTGATTGTGCAGCATTATGTGAACAAAAACAAAATCCCTTTTTTTTTCTCCCACTGGAGCTCTCACAATAACACAGAAAATGTTGGATTACGTGCAGAGCCAGTCAGAGGGAGAGAAAAAAGATTTACTTTTAGACTTTTGTCACAAGGTTTAATAACCAGCTGGAGATCTAGGGGAAAAATGTGTCTTCAGGATACTGATAAATAAGCTGATCTGTGTCAGCTCTCATGCCTGAAGGCGCTTCTTCTTCTCCCCGAGTCACAACATGCCGTGTGTGTGTGCGTGTGTGTGTGTGTGTGTCTGATCAAGGCTACAGATTTCAAGGAGGAGTAGAACCATCTCAGAAAAAGATAAACAATTATTCCTTAATCAGGCAAGAAGAAAAGATGATCATATAAAGAGTTCTTCCTCTCCTGATGAATCCACACACTAACTGAGGCGTGGCACTACAAGGAGGAAATGAGTAACAACATTTCTTAATCCCGCACCGAGGTAATGCAAAAATGAATACGCAACAACAGCTGAATGTTCCAACACCTTGACCTGCGCTGACATGTCAAGAAATAACTCCTCTAAACTTTATAGAGCAGGTAAAAAAAAACCAATAAAGTTGATTCAAGTGGCTTTTCAGAAAAGAACAAAACATTACATTTCAAAGTTTTAGAGCTGAAATTATCAGAATTAGAATTAGTTTTTAAAGATCATGTAATGTGGGCACATACAGGAAATTTGAATACATACTCAAATTCATTTTATGTGCCCACACACAGTAAAACAGGAATAACTTTTTGATCCAGAGGGGCTGATTTGTTCTTATCTAGCAGGAGATTTGGATTTGATGTCCTTCATTATAAAACATCAATACACAAAAAAACCACAGCATAATCTACATGAGACCACAGAACATGAAACACTACAACTAGAACTACAAGCTATAAAACACAGGTGTAACACAGCTAAGCATTTCTAGTAAACTCTTTGAAGCTCCTCAGACGTACCGGCTTATTTTGGAGCACTTAGGACAACTCCCTGTGCTCTGAGTCCTTCAAGATAGCCATTTAAGAAGACACAGACACATTTTAATGTAACGTTCAGATCTTACATGATTCTAATCAAGCCAGAGATAAACACAACAAATGAAAAAGATTCTGTATCATGGCCATGTCATAAATACCAATTTCACTGATAGCTTAATAGAAAGCAGCAAAACAGAGAATGCAACCAAAATACAGAAGATTTTTTTTTTTTTTTTAAATGGAGAATACCTAATATTATCTACCGCTAGTGGTCTAGTAAAAGCCTTTTGTAGAAACTAAGCAAGCTTCTGCACAGAATGGCATTTAGGAGAAGCCACACAAGCAGCACACAGGCCCAGAGGCCAGAACAATGAGTGCATAAAAAAAAAAAAAAAAAGATTTGCTCCGAGGGAAGGAGAATTCAGTCTCAGACGTGGGAGGGGAGGCTGGCAGTACAAATAATTCACATCCCCGACACAGACAGCGGGACAAATAAACTGGGCAGCACTAGCAGGGAGTTATAAAGTACAATGAGGCAGGGGCGGCTGAGTGTGTGTGTGTGTGTGTGTGTGTGTGTGTGTGTGTGTGTGTGTGTGTGTGTCCTTAATGTGAGTATGTGTGAGTGTGTGTGTGTGTCTGTATTTGTGTGTGTGTGTGTGTGTGTGTCCTTAATGTGAGTAGGTGTGTGTGTGTCTGTCTGTGTGTGTGTGTGTGTGTGTGTGTGTGTGTGTGTGTGTGTGTGTGTGTGTGTGTGTGTGTGTGTGTGTGTGTGTGTGTGTGTGTGTGTGTGTGTGTGTGTGTGTGTGTGTGTGTGTGTGTGTGTGTGTGTGTGTGTGTGTGTGTGTCTGTCAGAAAGGGAGCAGGGATGCAGGGTAAAAGCAGCAGGAGAGCTCAGTGTGAGCCAGCTGAGTGAACCTGAGACCTGCCTGCTTTCGAAGTCTGGCAGACAGAGAAGCAGATGACTATGAAAGAACACCAGAAAAGAGGAGAACAGACAGTCAGCCTTAACTGACAATTTCTTTTATACCCTTTACACAACACTCTTTCACCTGCTCAACACTTGTGAAGGTAGCAGACACACAGGCTAGGTGACATGATGCAGCATTACAAAGTCAGTTATGGGTTCAAATTGATGTTCAATGAATGAAATGTTGGATAATAAAGACCAGTACAACAGTGAAAATGTAAAATAAGTAAATGTATTTAAAAAAGCGTGTGTATTTCTGCAAGTCCATAGTGAGAAAACTAAGTTGAACTGCTGTACAGAAACAGCAGTGGAATGATGGGGAGGATTAGAGACATAATGCACGACTGAATGGGATTTGTGCTTCGGAGCATATATTAGCATGAGCTTATGAATTAACTGTTGTGAAATCCACCACACACTGGAACTGGATTTGGAGTTTAAGTGGTCTGTTGGTGTTCATAGAGACAAAAACCAACAAAAAAGGATTTGCTCCATAAAGGATGGATCTGTCCCTCGGCTGTGTCCTCTGTCACATGAAACCCTGCCGTCGCTCACTCGTCACAATCGTGCAAAAACAGGAACTATCACAATGCAAATGATCAAATAGTCTTAGTCTGCAGTGTCTTAAGCCATTTAAAGTCTTACAGGTCTCATGACTACATGAAGGGGCTGCAGAGGCATCATATGAAATGTGTGACTTACTGAAAATAAGAACATATTACTTTGTAACAATGAGGGGGGGGACGTGAAGGAAAGAGTTAGCTATAAGAAGTTATGAATCACACAAAACCACATGGTATATGGTGAATCATTTGAGCCATCAATGAGTCTGTGACTCGTACCGTAATGTAGAATGTCTCCCAGCACGAGTCATGCCATTCCCGGTGATGGGAGAGGGCAGAGTGCCTCCTCCATGTAGGTCTTCTATAGAGCGGCTCCAGGGCTTAGACTTGTCCATCGCAGCCTCAGGATTGTTCTCCAAAAGGTCTTCATCAAACCTGTTACAGCATGAACAACAGATAAAAACATAAGAATGCTAACAGTCAGCATTGAGTTTTTACTATCAAATGATCAATCAATCAAACTTTATTTATATAGCACCTTTCAGACAAATTAAATTGCAGTTCAAAGTGCTTTACAAGAGTGCAGAAAAGTTGTTGACAAAAAGTAGTTTATAAAATCATTGATAAAATCATTGAGAGACCAATGCACACCAATAAGAATTTAAAAAATATGTATAAAAATATAATAAAATACGACACATAAAAGCAACAAGATATTAAAATAAATACATAAGAGGAAAATATTTAAAATTGTTGCAGGATAAAAAAGACAATACAGTAATGTTAAGATTTGAATTGATATAAAACACTATATAAAAGCCAGACTGAATAAATGAGTTTTAAGACTGCGTTTAAAAATCGGAGGATTTCTGAAGCCCCAGAAGTTTTAACTGTTGGAGAAAATTTCAAACAAAAAGAGCTATTATAGCTTGCACCAATTTTGTCATGTAAGATCTGTTGGCCAAAAATAGTTTATCTGAGGCAAAACTAAAGTGTAAAAGTAACTAATGGGGGATCACCTAAAACATCAAAGGAAAGTATTTGATGCCTGAGCATGCTTACTTTGTTTTGATAAAAGTCGTCTGTGAAAGATGCTACTGGTTTGCTAACAAGAAACCTTTTCTAACCGCTAAGCTAACCAGCTAACAAGAGTGTTGCACCATCAAGATTATGCCAAATAAGTGAGTTAGTCAGCCACTTATTTAAACCTCTGCATCATAAAGACAGATATAAGTTTTACTGAGTCAAGGACTCTTTAACTGTTGGCCAGACAGATATCAAAGAGCGCTAGAAGTGCTCCTGTTCTAGATTTTGGTTTTAGACATTTGAGGTAAGAAAAGGTCTCATGTTTTGTTGTACTTGGCAGAAACTTTGGAAAAAAAACTGCTAGTTGCAGCATACCTGCCATGATCTATGTCTGTTTTTAGACTGCTTGTTCCATGACTTTTAAATGCTGCTGCAGTGGTACTGAGTGTAAACACACTTTTACTGCTAACCATTCATAATGTGGACAGACCATAATAACATATGGTGGAGCAGAGAGTGAATTCAAACTTTACTGTGTGGCTCTCTGGCCCTGAACAGGGGCCTTGTGACTGACTAATAATCACATCGTCAATCTATGAATAGAAGCCTATGGTTGTTATAATACACAGTGCCAATGTGTCAGCAACGAGCCCTGAGTGACTCAGTGTTTCTCCAGGCAGGCTGCTGGAGCAGTGGGAAGATGCATCAGTGGCTGTGCAGAATAGCAGCATTGTGTTGGCTGTCACTTCTGCATATAGAAAATACTGATTTAAAGAGAAAGAGCTGGTGATGACTTACGTGACGGCATACTGTGCAAAAGAAAGATACTCCACCAGCACGTCCAGGCCTTTGTTGTCTTCATTTAAGAATTCTCTCACCCACCTGAGGAGAAGGGAAAAAACGTTTCACTCCACAAACTTTCATCAGCATATAAACATTTCTAAAATCATTTAGTCAGCGTCTTTTTTAAAAATATTGGTTCAGCAGTTAGAAGCAGAACACGCTCAGTTTCAAACAGTTTTAACCTGTCCTCACTTTGAAATCCCTAAATCCTTCATACTCAAAAAGTAACGCTCAACATGTTAGGAGGACAATATGTAAAGTTTGTTTGTGCATACATCATTTTAACGAGTTTAGCCTGTGAATGTATCAATGTTTAAACATACTGTGAGTAACATTTAACTGCTGATGAACAGTCTCACTTTACCACTAATGCATCAATGTGACCCACAAAAGCAAAACACAGCATCAGTGACAGGATCAGCTATTTCTATGGAGCTATTCCAGACGTCTGTTACGACTTTCACAAGGTCATAGTCCAACAAGGCGATCAACAACATGCAGAACTAAAGAGTGTTTGTTTACATTTTCTCAGCTGAGTTTCATGTAAAAATGAAGAATGACAAGATTTTTCATATATACCACACTAACAAGTACAGGACAGGATCAGCAAAAAACACAAAACTTGTAGTTTCATCCGTTGAAAACACAAAAAATGTATAGAAAATTAAATTTCCCCACAGTTGCTTAATGTTACTGATCAGCTTGCCTGACAATCAAAACATTGAAAATCACATCTGAAATCATTGATGGGAGATAATTTGGAGTTACAATTATATTAAGGAGTTTTTAATGTTTGTAGTTATATTACTTATCACTTTCTGATTTAACACTCTAAGCAGGCTTTGACCATTCCTGACCCTGATACACATGTTTTCAGGAGCGTCACCCTCGATTTCTTCCTACCCTGGCCAGTAAGAAGTGTAATGACGCGTTCAAAAAGCTCAAAGCTTCCTGGCTCCGAGCAGCTAACACATGCATGTGTTTATAAAAGCACCAGCTTTTACACACAGATACATCATCTCATTCTTGAGTCTGACTGTTTTTTCCCTACCACAGAGACAAACCCACAGACTGATCAAAAGATAATTCTCACCTTCATTCTAAAGAAGGCCACCTGCTCAGTAGCTTTCATTTTTTATTCTGCACAGAGAAGCTGATTTTCTTGCAGGACTGCACCTGCTAACTTTGGCCTGTGTGGCTTTCCCCTCCATATTTATGAGCTGAATATCAAAGAGCATGTTTATTTAATGGCGACCCATGAAGGAACCATGTCTTTTTAATGGAGGCCTGACTGCTCAGTGATTAGAGGAATTTGCCGGGCGTAAACATAATGACACACATGCAGACTTTTTGAGTGGTACTGGGCTGATGAAGCTGTAAGACTAACGTTTTAAATATCCACTAGCTTCTTCTTTATTGGCTCCCCTGCTGTGTAACTACAAGTGTGTATGACTTAAGAGCAGCCAGTAAAGCGGTGCCTGTTTGGACCCAGAGTGTTTTTTTTTTTTTTAAAAGGCTCAGGGGGGGCGTGGCCACATCTGGCCACATGGTAATCATTACCACAGGACACTAACTTAACAATTCTCCCATTCACCACATGTTGTTGACCACTGAGCAACATGTGAGAAGCAGGCAGGGAGCCGGGGTTATCATCTGCAGTGATCGTCCAGGGACAATCTCTCTTTTATAAGCAACTACATGCTGGAAACATTTGTCTGTTTCATCTCTGAAAAGAAGCAGTAATCATTCACTGTCTTAGCGGGGGGGACATGTTACTCCGTCACCACCACTGTCCACTCTCCTGCCTCTCCCTCTGCAGTTATGGTAATGCTAATCTAGATTAGATGGATTATTCATGTAATCTAGTTTACCAACATAAGGTCCCTAAAAAGAGTTAATCCATGTAAACAATGCCTCGACCGATTTGCCAGACGGATGACGTTTCTGGCTGTGGCTGGAGTTTATTTTGGTTTGAGGCTGAACGGGAGCGGAGTGTAATCAGAGTGTAGGAGTGTGAGAGACTGTGTTGTCAGAAACATGAGATGATTTGTGTGAGAGTCGGTGCAACAGACGAGAGGAAGTAAGGTAATGCTTGTGTGGGAGGCGAGGAGGAAAACTTCAAAAAAAAAACTGAAGGATTAAGGGATGCAGTAAAGATAGTGTGTGTGTCTGTGTGTGTGTATTTGAGGTCTTGTGATGGTTATATAACCAGTTTATCTCTACATCTTCTCTGTCACAACAGTCTGTGTACAGCTGATGCTCTCATGGCTGCCTCTTCCTGTCCTTGATAGCGTCTCATTGTCTCCTGTGACCACCAACCTTCAACATCCTTTAAACTGTGATCATCCTCATTTCTACCAAATGATCCCGGGGCTTCATTTAGGAGACATCTGACACACAGTCTGATGCTTAACAACACTTAACACTCATTTGTACACAGAGAATCAATTTATCATATTTAACCACTCCTCACCACACAACTAAGGAACTCTTATCAGCAATTACAAAACTACAGAAAACCTCCATGGTCACCCATTTCAGCAGAGAACGACTAACTATAACCTTCTAAAGTCATTCAAGTTGAATTATTCAAAGAATAAAACTAAACGCTCAAAGTAGCAACGTATATTTTCATTCCTGTAAACAGTTTGTCTTGTGTTATCCACAATCCTACGTGACTCCCAGCAGGTGGGATAGAGAATCAAGTGTGTGGCCTCAACTCACTAAGCTTAAGCAGAGATGAGGAGCTATCTAAGGAGGAGGCGAGAGAGGGTTTTAAGACCACTTCTTTACAACTTCTCAACCCTTGATCTCATTCTTTTTCTTTTTTTTTGAACTTGAAGCCTCTTATGGCTGCCCCAAGAGAAGCTGCCTCAAGTTATGTAACTTCGGGCATTTTATCGAGATCTAAAGACAGACTTTTTTACTAAAATTGGTAGAATTCTCCTTTTAATGGTACATGTTTGTACTGTGTGTTCCTCTTTGCAATCTTAAATAACTGTACATTTGTGTTCCTCCTCATTTTAATTGATAATAATCCAAGTTATTTCCTGGTATGAAAGCACTGTTAAAAGTGAAACTAAAGTAAGAATCAGAATCAGAATTATTGTCCAGGTATGCTTACACACACACAAGGAATTTAACTTCGGTGAACTGTGCTCTCTTATGAACAGGTACAACATTAAATATCAACAATAAACATAATAAGAAAAGACTAATATGAAACAGTGCAGTGGTGAATAGTGCAAAAGATGCTGAAGTTACATGATAATAAGAAAAATGCAATTATGTGACAGATGAGTCAATTAAGATGTCAATTACAGTATTTACATAAATAAGTGTGCGTATATTATCATTTAAATTAAATAATATATATATATATATATATATATATATATATATATATGTATATTCACAGTGACGGTTTGGTTTAGAGTCATTTCACCGCGACAGGTCTGACACTCTGTGACTGTCAGACACAGAGAAAGTAAAGAAAAACAAAAAGTAAAAGACAATCTGTTACACATTCATATACTATGAACAATGTTTTCTTTTTCTTTTGTGCAATAACAATCACAAACAAATACATTATCTATGATCTTTCTTCATGCTGTATAATTATTCACTTAGATATTACTATGATAAATGAGTCCACTGGATCCTACAGCTCCCAGAGTGCATTAGGGCCTCGTTAGTGAAGTGGGGTAATCCATCACAGTCTCTAACTATCAGGGTCTCTAATCACCACGACACACCCTGTGATCTAGACTAAGACAAAACATTAAGACGGTGTGCTGCGCTCATTGAGATATCGATCTTTGCTTGGGGATGACTGTACTCTGAACTAACTCTGAATCAATATCGGCTGCCACAGGTTGAGGCCTGTTATCTTAGAATACCTGGAATTACCCATGAGTCCCTCTGTGTCGGTATGTGTTGTGAAATCCTGATCTCTTTAGTAACATGTACAATAAGTCCTCATCCTGAAGGCAGACTGAGGTGTCAGGTTTTGCAGCTCTACTGCTGCAAGAAAAAATGTGTTTTCCCTTTCATATGTCGTCTGCCCAAAACAATACATGGATTCATCTTTTCTGCATCGCCACATGGCTTTCTGGGTAATATTAGGCCACAGCGCTGAGATGAATGGGGGATGGTGGTGGTGGTTAGTGTCAATGTCTGCGTCTCCGGGTGTCTGGAATGTCAGACTTCCCCCCCCCTGATCTAATATAACCAGGTCCAAGACATCCAACACTGCACGAGCTTCACACACAACCCCGCAGTGACTCACCCAATGTGATTGGTCCGTAACGAAATTTCCAGTTCTCTCAGGACTTGGGTGGACTCCTGAACTCTTCGTCTGAATTTCTGAGGACGGGAAAAAAGAAAGAGGGGGAGTTAATATTTCATCGTAGCACTAGAGCTGTAAATCATCAAGTGGTAGTGTGGTGATGTTAAGGCTGGAAAGAACTTTCTTCTTTTTTTTTTGCAGGAAAGGTCAGACACAGGGACACGGATAGAAACCACAGTGACATTTAAACGTGAAAGCGAGCAAGTCCGTGTACTGATTGCAAAATAAAATGTTCTGGTAAGATTGTTTACTAAGCCTTTTACTTGCCAGAAACCATTCAGTAGGCTAAAAGAAAAAGGGGAGCTGACTCATTGGAAACTCTGAATATGGAACAGTTCCCATTATCCTTTTTGCTCACATTGGTTCTTTATGAGGCAGTAATCCTTCCTTTAAGCACCAGGATCATATTAACCAACATAACTGGTTACCTTTCCAACCCAGAAGAACCAACCGCTCAGACACATGTGTAAAGACTCGCATATTCTCAGGTCTGTTACTGTGGCTACCGCAGGGAAAGAGAAGTGTTTGTGCAGCAGGCATGAAGGTACGAGCTGCCAGAAACTGAAACTGAAAACAAAAGAGCAAAGAGGACGTGTGCGGGTCCCTCTTTGATTTTGTTCTCCAACAGGAGGTGATCTGCGAAAACCCCAACACAAAAAAGTTCTTCCAGGCTGTTACACAACCACAGCAACAGAACAAAGGAAGAGTGAGGGACCGGTGTTGATCAAACAGGAGGGGGAATCCCTGACGAGAGAGGGACATAGTGTTGGAGGCGAGGAGAGGTAAAATAAACATCCTGTTCTATAAATGCTATCCCTGTGTTATTACAGGATGTCAAAAATTAAGAAAACTCAAAAACTGTCACCTTTCAAAATAATCTAAAATTCCCCAATATTCACACTCAAGTCATTTTTCAATTAAATGATGATTTGTTATTTTTTCTGTTATAGTTGCTAATTCAATTAGTTTTACTTTTGGACTTCTGGTAACACTAAATAAGACATCTGAGGAAGTCACCTGAGACTCTTGAAAACTGAGATGGACATTTTGCAGTGTTTTATAACATTTAATAAGCCTATGATTATTTGGTCAATCAAAAAAATAAATGTAAAATTATTCAAATATAAAGCAAAAAAAGATCCGCACTCCAAGGAGCCAACATGCTCTTTCTCTGAAATGTCATTTGTCAATAAATCCTTTAAAGGGGAGCATCGATCTGTTTTGTTTTATTGGATAGAGCATCCACTTAGTGACGTGCGTGTCTTTTTTTGATTTTAGATTAATCAACTATGAGAATAATCCTGCTCACAGTAACTTTTAAGGGTTGTATTTAAAGGAGAAGAGAAGAGAAGAGAAGAGAAGAGAAGAGAAGAGAAGAGAAGAGAAGAGAAGAGAAGAGGAGAGGAGAGGAGAGGAGAGGAGAGGAGAGAGAGAGAAGAGAAGAGGAGAGGAGAGGAGGGAAGAGAAGGAGAGGAGAGAAGAAGCTTGTCACTTTCCATGATGTGTTAGACTAAGGGAGGAAACAGATCTCAAGCCTGTGTTAACCTATTATTAACATCCACAGAGAAGAGAGCTGTTCCCATAGCTTCTCTCTCTCTCTCTCTCTCTCTCTCTCTAGTCTGTGTCTTTGGGCCTGGGCGGCATGTTTGGCACATGAGGAGATGAGAAACAGAGTGTTTTTATTAGGGAGGAGCCCTTTGTGTGTTTGTGTGGAAAGCAAAGCATATTTAGGGGTACTGCGCAGTCTCCCTGAGGCCCCCTCCCCTTCTTCTTCTCCCACCAAACGCCCTACACTCCACACTTTTAAGTGCTACCAGCTGCATCACAGAAAGAGCAGGAAGAGAGAGAGGAGTCGACAGTGGGGGGAGAGCGTGAAGACGGTATGAAGAAGGGGAGGAGAAAGGGAGGGAGCAGTGAAAGGGGAAAGTAAAAGTAGAGAATCAGCACTAAAAGTGTGGAGGGGGGGAAAGGAAGAGATTTTGGGGAGTGTGGGCTCAGGAGAGGTCATCCTGGAAACAAATCAATGGCTGATACATTCTTGGGGACTTGTTGGACTGAAGCTCTTCCTCCTTGGCTGCCGATTGGCTGGGAGCTGCCCAGAGGAATGCACCGGAGCCTGCCTATGGAAAGCAGAGGCAATGACCTCCAGCTCTCTCACAGCCGCACAAAGTGGCAATTGTTTTGAGTTTGAAGAAAAGGGGGATGGAGCAGGAATGTAGAAAGAAGCCCATAACTCTCTTCTCCTCTGTGCTCTCTTGTGCTTCTTTTTTGTCTCTCTCGTCCTCTGTCCATCTCTTTCTCCACCAATACCCTCTCTACATTATTCACTCTTCCTCCTTCCCTCCCTCTCCATAAACTTTTCCACTTTACTCTCTCATGCTAAGTTCTTGATCAAAGCGAGTAATAGGCATAGGAGGCAATTTCGGGAAGCAGCTGATGTCCCGGCCTTTGAGAAGCATCTAGGTTGGTTTAATATTGACCCAACAACCAGCAGCAGATAAGCCTCTCTAGTAGACGGGGGAAAAAAACTTGGTAATGTTTTCTTCTCTGTCTGAGGTGCCTCAGGGAGTGATTACACCCAGAGCTTTATAACCTCGTCCTTTCATGGGTGAAAACAATCCATCGGGCTAGTTTCACCAAAGCTTAAACATCATTTAAGTTTGCTTTAGTTTTAACAGACATGCCAAAATTGATTTCATTTTACTCTATCCTTGTATTGATTACATCCATACACACTCAATCACACAAAAAACACACATGAATAAACCAAACACTAAATGTCTTATTCTAAAATGTTAGAGGGCAGGGCTCAAAAGCACCTCATCAGTTCAGGTAGAAGCAGGATAGAGAAATACTTGTTATTCAAATTTTCACAACAAGCTTTAAACAAGCCATCATCTCTAACCTTGACACTATCGATGGCCCAGCAACCTTAACCTAAAAAGTGTTTTGTCTTCTCTAACATGCGTCATTGTCCCCTTACTTCCTGCTTTTAACAGACCTCCTGTGTGTTTTATCTCTCTGACATTACATTAGACATGGGATGCACAGATGCACAGCAGTCTCTGAGACTTAGCTGTTTACAGTCTGATAAACTCCTCCAGGGCCTTTTAGAAGAACTCAAATAATCTGCCTTCGACAAATCATCTTCTAAATGCATTTTAAATGACTTGACATGACGTGTTATTTAGCACGATGAATCATGTATTTACAAAACGGAACTTGTTTTGATTGGTTTATGCAGGTTTTAACTTGAACTACTGACATTAAAATTGAACAAAGCAAGACATTTGAACCATTTATTGATTACAGCTAAGTCAAAATGCTACTTGTACATAGTTATACAAAAATATGATGTTAAGCTAGCTATACTGGCTAACTGCTAACAGCTACTTTTAGCTCCCTATACTTTTTTATACTTCTTGACTGCTTCTTTTACACAACAATCCCAAACTGATATTAACTCTTTTTGTTAACTATAAGCTACAACTTTACTTTTTGTTTGCTTCATAAAGCTGCTACTTGAAGCTTACAGCATTTAATATTCCTTCCTATAGCTTTACCAAACTGCTACTTAAGGTTTGCTTTGTCAAACTGCTCCTTTGACCCATTATTTTTATCCATTTATAGTTAATTTTGTTGTTTATGTTAACTACTGTGACTGTTGCCTTTTAGCTAAATTTAATCAGTTACTCGAATGATTTACTCTTAACTTGTAGCTAAACTTTAGTTTGTATCATCCATCCATCAATTACGTGTTCATTCATTTCGGTAGCTCTTCAACTTCTCAGCTTTCTTCCATGCTATTTTGTTTTTTAACCAGTCAAATATTCTCATTAAGATACAAGATCTCTTTTTCAAGAGAGTGCTGGCCAAGACAGCAGCATAAAAGTTTCAGCCAGAGAACAAATAATAAACCAATAAAACATCAAGTCAATCAATTTTACTCAATATCATTACACATGTGGTGAAGGTTTAAATATACCAAAACATGAGGATACGCTTTAAAAAGGTAAAGCTCCTCCACAATCTTCCCATGCACCACTGGCAGGCCTGCAGCATTCCTGACTAATGTGATATTTGTGAATCACTTTTCTGCACATCAATAATGCAGGGCTGATCTGTCTTGCACAGACAAGATGTGGTGTATCTCACTTCTTATCAAACCAACCAGTGTGAGTGTTTTCCAGTGCAACAGCTCAATGTGTTTATGTGCTGGGAATGTTAGGAGTGTACGTCCCTCGATGCGAGCCAATGTTATTCTCTTTTTTTTTTGCAACAGTCATCCTAGCTGTTTATGCTGCTGTAGCTGGCTTATTGTGATGCAAAGTTTCAACTCCAGTGGCTGCAAATTGAATTATTCAACAATTTGTTGCTATTCTGGCAGAGTCTGTTGGTTAATTTGGTTATCACAGAGAAGCCCAGCGACCCCCCCCCCCCTCCCCACAGCTCTTGCTCACTCAGGCCTAAAAGACTTTATTTTGGCAAAGCCTAAGAGCTGGTTGATTTTTTGTTTCACGGAGCCCCCTCCCCTTACTCCTTTCTGCTTCGTTTTAAGCAGCCAGGGAAACGGCTAGAGTTGGCGGCTTAGACGACACAAGACCTTTTTTAATCATGTGTCTACATTGCTTCTAATGTCTCCTGTTAGATTCTGTGATGAAGCAAAGCAATGACAGTGCAGCAATTAGCAAGCTAGACCCCTCTCTCTGTCTTCATCACTGTTATTCTCTCTGATACCTTTAAGTGAGCGTTTTTGTGTTTTTTCTCTTCTACGTCTTCTCTTCCTCACTGAGAGGTCAGAGCAGGCTGTCAGCCACTGAAACGCACCACAAGGGAATGGTATGGATTCACTGTCTTGCTTAATGACACTTCAGCTGGACAGAGGTTTCTTGAGCCTGGCCGCTCCAGATAAACAACCGTCTCCTCCTCTCTCACTGAGTCACACTGTCGACTGTTTTGTAACTCCATTTCCCAAAGCTTTCTACTCTAGAGGCCCTGTGTGCAATCTTTGCCCAGCTGTAGTGGGGATATCCTGGACAAGAGATAGAGGGGTCAAAGGGGAAGGAAAAAGCTTCAGCTGTTGAAGAACCAGCCCAGAAGAACAGGATTGCAGGTTAGAGGGGGCTCACCTTTCTCGTGACTGCGGGGTCCAGATAACTCCTCAGCTTTTGGAGGTACGTGTGAGGCGGGTTTTTCACTTGGAAACGCTCCTGTCACAAAAGAAAAAAGGAAAAAAAGGTTGAAAACTAGACCAGAGCAAAATCTGACATTTGATATTATACATTTTGCTTTATTTCCAGACAGTTTTTGTCAGAATGTTTTATTCAATACAGCCATACATCAGTTTAAAACAATTCTCCATCACAAGTCTGAACACATGTTTAGTGTAGGTTCAATCATGATGAGCTGTCAGGTTGAAACTGGTCAGGCTTTGACATCCCTTAATTGAAAGGAGAATTAGATTATATGTTATTTTTAAGCGTAAAAAAGAAATTGGAGCACTTAGAGGCTGCTCTATAGTGGATACAAAAAGTCTTTGTGACCGTCACATGTGCTTTTTTTCCAAAGACTATTTTGCAGATCTGACTGACTTCTAGTAGAATTAACCTCTGGTCTAATTCAGGGATAACTGTGTTGCACAATAATAATGGTTTGTGTGTGGACAATCTGAGCTGTAAATGTAATATTAAATACAATATACTGTATATATGCTCAACTCCGTCTTCTATACTTGCATAATCAGTCCTCTCGTTTCATCATCATTACAGTTGCTGATGAAAATATTAGACTGATCAGTCTATTGTCATACTTAGCTGTTACTGCTAATACAACACATACTTCAACCATTATTACTGAAGTTGTAGCTATAAATCTATCTTGTTCATTGTTGCTCTGTTTGTCTCTCTCTCTCTATCCCACTTTCAAACCCAAACACAGTTTCAGGAGATGGTTGTTCAACGTGAGTCTGGTTTTGCTCGAGGTTTCTGCCTGTCAAAAGGACGCTTTTCTTTCCACTGTAACTTTGATAATGTTGCTCAGTGCTGTGCTCATGATGGATTCATGTTGGATCTCTGTAAATAATATCACAAAGAGTGAGGTATTTTACCTGCTCTTTTGTGAAGAGTCTTGAGATAACATTTGTTATGAATTGGAACTATAAAATAAATAAAGATTGATCGTTAATGGATGGTTTTGCACACGATAACTCAATTAATTGCCATTTTATTCAAATGTGTTTATTAGCAGCGTACTAAAAAGCTTAGCAGTGATTTCTGCATCAATATCTGTGTAATGACATCAGAAAGGTGATAAGACTCTCAAGTACATGGTCATAGTCTGATAACACCGAGCTGGGAGACTGTGACTGTCTAAGCTGTTAAGCCAGCGAGAGTTAAAAAAAGATCCTTCTATTATTGATTTTGTGTTAATGTGCTAGAAAGCATTAGCTACCTGGGGATTGTGACTAAACGTGTATGGCTGTGTGCCTACATGTCTTAAGTTCAGCAAGGAACAGGTTTTAGGTCAAACCCCTGACTGTTGTGCTCTAAATATAAACACCAGAGATTAGTGTTGGATTTGGATCAGACTGAGAGTCACACCTTGACAGCATGAGCGGTTCATTGCACAGAGAATAATATTGACTGAAGAGCACATCAGTGAGTGAAATATACTCTTCATATGATGGTGGTTAAGATGGTTGAAGCTTTACTCATCGAAGCAATAAGTTTGCAGAGCTCAGCGACTGACCTCAAGGGAAAAGTCTACTTTCAGATCTCTGAGGTTGTCTTGTGCAAAGACATCAGATGGACACCTACAAGTACCTGTGTCTGTGTTCCTTTAGACTCAAGGGGGAGTTGTTAATTCAAATTCTAAGATTTCTTCTGTGGCTTCATGGACCAATTCATCTTTCTGTGTTCTCTTGTATAAGTGGGCCCTTATCTTGAAACAAAGATGACCAGCACAAACACAATTTGGACCTTTTTGACGATATAAGACGTTTCCTTTAAGAGATAAATGGCTGATGCTTTTTTTTAGGTTGTTATGACATAACTTAATGACCTAGGTGACCTCAGCTCAATACATTTTTCTGCAGTTCTTGAAGATGCACAAACTAATAAAGGTTGCAAATGTAAAAGTAGGTACATGATCCCTCAACCTGTCCTACTAATATTCAGCTAGTTGTACTCACAGGATTGCACAAAAAAAAAAACACACAATAACTGAAAACAAGAAGTCTGAAGTCTGAAGTGGGAGATTGGGGGATAGATGACATGTTGTGAATGTGTTTCCATCAGTCGGTCTACAAATACTGAACAGATTTCTGGGCTGTTCTGTACTATCAGCAACATCGCTTTTATTCCAGGCAGAATGTCTGTCTCACAAAAAACAGGAAAGGCATGTGGAAAGAGAGCCGGCTCTCACGGCTACAGCTGACAGAAACAGGCAGACAGACATGCTCTGCTAGTTATCTGCGAGTCCGCAAAATAATAAATGATTTGGCAAGCACCGTATATATCCTGTTACATGCAATGAAATGTACGGAATGAAGGCCAGTAAATATACATGAAGTGGGAGATTATATTATAGAGAAGACATGTGTGGTTTGCAGGAAAACATATAAAGGCGCTCTGAAACGCTCTACGGCAGTTAGAGTTTGAATGTGTAGAAGATCTGAGAGTAAGGATGAGGTCTTTTTTTTAAACTGGGCTAAGGGTGCATAGAGACCTATCTCTAAGAACAACTTCAGGAGACAAAACTTGTTGGAAAAAGGCATGGGACTGCAAAGAATACTGGGAAGTCATCATATCTTCTGCTTTGTACGCTGAAAGTTTGAACCTTTACGTCGAGGGCGTCCTCCATATTTCATATATTCTCCCCTAATTGCCAGAAAAATGTTAAATATTTCAACCCCTGGTGGCGTTTGCAGGGCCTGTTGTCATCTCTGCCTTTTTGCCTCCCTCCATCACTGTTGCCATGGTTACATAAAGAGGTTCACTGTAGCTATGACAGAAAATACTTTCCTCCCAGAGGTGCCTGTGCTGTCATAGTTGTAGACTTGTTTGGAAAACAAGAGAGGAATAAACACTTTTGAGGATTTTTTAATCATTTTTTTATCTTATTTAAAACAAAAAGAAGTTTAATTATCTAACAATATAAATAAGAACAGGAATTTTGACAAAAATATAATATGATATAGTTATGAAACTTCAAATCTACATTTAATCAAATTCATTTTAAACATGAATAATGCTGATTTACATGGACAGTCTCATCTTGTTCTCTCTCAGTAAGAAAGAAAAGAAGAAGAAGATTCTTGTAAGGAAAAACACGAGGAAATGTTTTGGAAACTGCTTCACTGACAATAACAAGGAAACCATCCATTTTCACTTCAGGCCTAACAGAGAAACATGGAGTCCTCTCCAAACTGAAAGAGGATCTCTGACTGCTGATCAGCAGCCAGGTCGGCTCTCTCTGGCACTGTTCCCTTCAGGGTCAGTGCCGGTCAATACGGTTGGAGTGGGTGGTGGTCTTTATCTAGCCTCCATTTTTTCTCTCCTCTGCCTATAGAAGCAGAAAAACTCTCTGGCTATGTGGACGAGGGCTGAGTGGAGCATTCAGACCACAGCTCACTGAACAACGTGCACCCTCTGTTATTCCCCACATGCAGCACTGACACCAATAACAGGCTGAGTTTTTTAAACTGGTATACTGGTGTGTGCTCCCTGCTGTGCCACTTAACCTACTTGAACTGGGGAAGTCAAGGGCGTGGGCAAAGGCTGGGAAAGGCTTACAAGCAATGGAGCATGGGAACTGTGGTCATGACATGCAGAGCAACAGACCTCCTGCAGGATTAAAAACTCAGTATCTACAATAGAGCAATAAAAAGTGGGACAGTACAGTCACCATGCTTACTTTGATTATCAGTTCAATAATTCAAAGCCCTACAGCTGTGTACCTAGGCTGACATAAAACTATGGAGAGTTATTTACAAGTTAAGATACAGTCTCTATACTGATGCCTGTATATGACCTACAAAAACAAACCAAGTCATTAGCTAGAAAACAGAGATAATCTACAAGTATTCTTAATGCCTGTCACCGCTGGCACCGGGTCAGATTCCCATGAAGGGATTTATAGTATGTACACCAAAGAGTCTTTGTTTACGTTTTCTCTGGCAAGGTTTTTAGGTTAGTAATGTATTAGCCAGTTAGAAGAAAGCAGGATAATGTTTTAGTTTAGCATAAAAAATATGTATATATTGATAAAGATAAAGGGCACCGCTTTGCCCACAGGAGGTGCACAAATCCACAGCTTTTACATTTTTCCCTTCCGAGTTTGGTCATTATGCAGCCGTGGAAACATACAAGCGTGACTTGTACAGCACTATATCAAACCATTTTTCATGCAGGTAATTTCCTGATGCCCACCTGATCACATATGAGCTCCCACTTCTTCTCGTTGTCGTACTGCCGCAACAGCCGCGCTTTGTCTGGAGGAAGATTCATTGAGCTCTGAAAGAGATGGAAAGATCAGAGTTATTTTGATGAAAGTAATGAAATGCTATTAGTCACATGTGTCTAGTAAAGCTCTCTCTCTCTTTATTCAGACATAATTAATCACACTTAACACAGTCATGAGTAACAGTCGTCAAAGTCTAAAGTGATGATGTTCCTTTTAAAAAGTCTCCTGGAACAAGGATGTTCAAAATAAATCTCAAACTGAACTGACTGTTTGAACTAACAGTATTTTGATCAACAGACGAATGAAAAAAACAAGTGTTCACACAAGCTCTTGACACGTCGGACATTGGATTGTATTCTACACTATCTATTCAATGTGCAATGTTTGACAAGATTAAAATGGATTAGTTTGATTTGAAATGCTTCAGCTCACATCACAAGCCCCCACCCACCCTTAAAGTAAGTGGAACAACAGCCAACAACTGCTGTGCTGACTGACGCACGCAGCATCACTTTACCAATCCACTAGCCAATTCTGAACAAGCAATAACATTAAGAGATGCATTATCTGTTTTAATTTTTAAAGACCTGCACCCCTACAGCGTCATCAACAATAAAAGCTTAGATGTATCATCACGTCATTTTCTTCACCAGCAAGTTTCAGATAAATAATTAGTGAAGTGGCTTAATCCCATAAACTTGATTCATATTTAAGAACTTTGCAAGTTTAGAATAACAAATGCTATCTTTGTTTTAGGTTTTCTTCTGTGGTATTCATTCAATCAGCTCATGAAAACATAACAGAAAAATAAGAGCTGCCTTATCTTGAACACATTCTATTGAGCTTTTTTATTTGACACTCAAAAAATAAAGTGCACAGAGTAGCTGCTCCAATAAGCATAAGGAATTGGTTTGAATTGAAAAACCGCTTTGAATCTGAGTTTCAGTTCTAACAATAGGTATTAAAGGACGTAAGGCTGTCCAGCATTCATCTGCAAACTATTTCACTGTACCAAAAGATATTTCTCCAGTCTCTCTTTGCCTTAAACTCAAACCTACAACCATGCCAGCTCCTACAGGTTCAAATATTCGTTTTTCATTTCCTATCATACTAAATAAAACGCTGACTGAAAAGTCACTAATGAGAAAACCCAAAATATCTCCAATGCAAAGTGCTGTTGAGAAGTCTCACTACAAAGCAATGACAAGGTCTCCTCTTAATTAAGCGGAGGTTATGACACTGAGGAAGAGAGGAGAAACATCTAAGCTCTCTTGTCCGAGTCAACGCTTTAAACTTGAAACCAGGAGACTGAGGTTCACCTCAACAAACTAAACTTCACCAGTTCATGGACCAGACATCGCTCTGAGTAATGAGAGAGTGAAAGAAAAAGTGGACTGATTTCTGGTCACATTTTTTCTTCCTTCCCTCACTCTCCCGATGGGAATCAACTAAATATCCAGTTGTATTATTGTGTTCAGAATGATTTCCTGAGAAGAGAGCTTTTCTTTTTGTTCAGGACAAATCTAATTGGACCCATGTGTCGATTAACATGTTGTCAGAGAGAACCCAAAAAAATAACGATCTAAAACAGTTACACAGGTCTTTCTATCCTGATATCTTTCCTTTCGTTTCCATACAAACACCTCCGCAGTTCTATTCATTCTGGCTCTACGTCACACACATGATTCACTCTGCCCTCTTGTGAATTAGAAAAGCTGGAAACAGTTAAAAAAAATAAATAATTAATTGCCCCAATTACATGATGAAGAAAATCTCAACATGTTAGCAGAAAATGTTGTGACCCTGCTGGAGATTCATTAGCCCCCCACAGAAAACACAAAAAAATACATTACAAACATTTACACAATAAAGGTTTGTCCTGCAGAAGCCTTGTATAAAGAGAAATCAGCCATGACTCGTGCTGTTATGAAGGATATTAAAGGTTGGTTTAAGGAGAATATTTTCCATTGCTAAGAATAGAAAATGTGGCCATCATGGACAGCTCGGCTTGGGGTTCTTTTCCTCTTTTCATCCGATGGGTTGGATCATTTATCAGTGTGTGTTCAGCGCTCAGCGTCTACTTTTCCAGCCGCGCTCACAGGGGGGGGCGAGAGGAAGATGGATGAGGAAAAACCCTGGGATCCAGCCTATTTCCATGAGCGAGTAAAACCAGGATGGAGTCAGACACTGATCGAGTAGTCTGATCCCTGACAGGCTTTAGACTTTAGAAATATTATTTTCTTCAATATTGAATGGTACATCACAAATTCCTCTCCTATCAATTTACCCATTTTAATTTTAAAAGTTTCCATCTGTAAGAGAAATCAATGTAGAGAGAGAGCTGCTTAATAGGGCCAATAAATATGCACAAATAATTGAAAACCCAATATAAGAGAACAAAAACGCTTTGGATCTGTATCAACCTTGGATGCTAAAAAATGGATTTCAAGCACTTCACTGAAGTTTTATTTGATATAAACAGAGGTTGTAGCCAGCCTGCTCTCCTAGCATGAGCAGGAAATTGCATTAGAATTCAGCAGATGTTGCCGGCTGGCTGATTGCTGCGGTGCTGACTGCGGGGAATTCAAGTCAGATAGGCTCTATTGATTTAGTCTGGCTGCTAAACAGATGCGTAGATTTAGAACCCACTGTCCTTCCCTAAACACATTAAAAGACAATTCAACACCTAAGTATGCTGTTACATTTAATGACACAAAGCCACTAATACTCTCACTATATCACATACAATCGTAAACACAGATTTCACTTCTGCCTAGTTTGAGAATAATTTAATGTGTGGGTGCAGACTGGATGGGTAGGTGGTGCCCTGAGCTGTGGGCTTCCTGCTTGGTGAGGCTCCAACTAAAGCAAAAAAGAAGCACTTCTACCAGCCGTCACTTCATCCCATTGCTAATGAGCTGTGACAGGCACTCAGAGAGCCAGGGTCAGGTTACCCTAAGTCTACAGTCACACTAATTCTGCGTCTGTGTTATTAATGAGGTGATGTTGAGGAGGGTGTGGCAGCCTTTCACCAACACCTGCTGGCAGACCACCCTGCCCAAAACACACACACCTAAATATAACTCATCGGGAAATTTAAGGGTAATTAAAGAACAACCAAAGAGAGTAAGTAGGATTACACGGGAAAAAAATATTTTAAGTCAAAAACTAGATCGCAAAAGTGGTAATTGTATTTTTAAAGAAAGAACAGAGTGTGAGATGCTTCCATAAATATGGACAATCTTTCAAAATGAACATGAAAAAGAATATGAAGCATGTACTAAACAGGGACAAACATTGTTTTTAACAATAATAACGCAGAGAAACTCCCTCTAGACTGCAAACAAAATGAAGATGACGAGCTAGATGACCAAGCCCTCTTTTCTGTGAAATGTTGGCCTTCAACGCTCCATCGTGTCTGGCCTCATGTCACACTGCCAAACTGAGAACTCATCTCCAGAGCAGCTGTCCCACATCTGTACTTTAGTACCATTACAAACATTTGGAAGAGCTGAAGCTGTGAGTTTTGGCTCAACGTCCTTCAAGTGTTGGATCGAGCTTTACAAACAACTGAACGTTTATATCAGGATAAGTAACTTGTTTTCCAGGTTGAAAGGTGACACTTACTCTGTATCAAAGTCATGAAAACTTACAGAACTTCTCTTTATCATAGACCACATTTATTGTCCATCATTTAAAAAGGGAGAAAAACTGTACCTTTTTCCAACCTGGCAACATACCTAGGACTCCGCGTGCCAACCAGAAAGATTACAAAGACTGTGAATTTAACAAAACAATGCTGAGTCATGAACTAGAGACAACCATATCTAAAACAAAGTGACTGCTGATTACTGCTGACTAACACCTTCATGACACTTTATCATAACGGAAACATCTGTAGGTGATTCGAGGATAATAGGCAAATATTCATTAATTTAATGTTGTAGTGTTGAATAAGTAATGAAAATGTATTTTCTTTATATGCACTCTGTGAGTAGGTTAAATACACTGTACGGTTTATTTTTCTCATCGGCTCCTACATTGCACCTTTTGTACATTTTGTGTTTTTTATATTTTACATTTTTAAATTCTATTTTATATATTGTAATAGCTTCTTATACTGTATTATTTAAGTTGTTGCTAGTTCTGCTTTATTTCCTTGTTAATTGTTTAGCACCAATACACCAAGTCAAATTCCTTGGCACTTACTTGGCAATAAACCCCGATTCTGATTCTGATTCTGAAAAAGGTTGCTGTCACATTTCACTTTTTTTAGCCTTCTTTGTGTCGTCTACTCTCAGCTCTAGTGAGATTTTTCATACTTTGTGGGTTCTTTGTACAGTTGGTTTAAAAAAGAAAGAGACTGACCATAAAAGAAGTGTGCAAAATGATGCTGAAGGACAGAAAATTGAGTAGACTGAATGGACTTTGAGTCTAAAAGGAGCAGTTTGATTGAAACTGGAAACTGGAACAAAAAGTTCAAACCTGAACTGATACTTTAGTGACTCAGACGCAGAAAGAGAAAAGAATATTCACAACATCAGCCTTACACAACAATGTGGACTGTTAATGTTGAGAGGCTTCCATCAATGTTACTGATATACAATAAAGTCAGTGTTTAACACATGGATCAGGGATGAACTTATTAGTGTCCATGCATCCTCTCATTATGCAGCTTGAGTCAGAAAAAGAGTAAAAATAGACAGCTGGCTTTAAGCCTGCCAACCACCCACCACCTTCCAGGGGGTCTGCGGAGGCACAGCTGCCCACAAAAGCAAACACACATGGCCCACATGAAGGGCTTGTGTTGCTGCATAAAGATGTGGACTTTGTTAACAAAACTGAGAAACTGGCCATTTGAACAGTGGTGAGTTTAGAACAGAAAACCCTGAAAGCCTCCGTGTATAGACTCAAATTGGCTGCTGGATCTTCAGGAGTTTACATCATCCTTTAACCCAGAACAACAAAGAGACAGGACAACTTAAACCTCCTCTTCAACCATTGACATCACTACAGGGACACATTTAACAGTGATGCTTCATTGACAAAG